GACAACAGAAAAGTGGGTGAAGGGAGACATCGAACAGGGCAAGATATGACAAAATAACAATTTATAAACTATCAAGGGCTCATGAGGGAGGGGGAAGCGGGGAGAGGGGAAAAATGAGGACCTAATGCTGGGGGTTTAAGTGGAGAGGAAATGTTTTGAGAATGATGAGGGTAATGAATGTACAAATGCGGTTTACACAATTGATGTATGTATGTATTGTGATAAGAGTTGGATGAGCCCCTAATAAAATGATTTAAAAAAACACAGAAACCCCCCCCCCCCACAAAACTGGTGAAAGTGAGAAGAAATTAGAACTCTAATGCACTACTGGTGGACTTAAAAATATGTGTAACCTGCGTGGAAAGCAATACTGCTGCATAAAACAGCTGGGAGTAGAAATACTGTATGATCCAGCAGTAGCTTTGCTGGGTCATACCCCAAAGAAGTAATAAGTAGAAAAATGATGTATGCTCTCCTAGTCACTGCAGCACTGTTCACAATAGCAAGAAACTTGAAACAGCCCAAATGCACATCAGTAGAAGAATGGATAAGGAAACTCTGGTACATATGCACAATGGAATAGTATGATCTCAAAAAACCAGCCATGAAACCATGAAAGACCTCGTGACATAGTTAGACCAGGAAACCATTATGTGAGTGATGTTAGTCAATCACAAAAGGCCAAATATTGTATGAGTCGACTACTGTGAGGATTAATACCAAGACAATGGCAGGTTTCTGTTCCCAGGTCATATAATCTTGTAATCTGGTCTCCTAAGCACTGATGTGGAGAGTCTACCAGTACCCAGGATCTGCTCCCTTCATTTGTGTATCTTAAAACCCACTTCGTCAAACTGAGGTCACCTCAGCTGGAGTCACTTGCTTAAGATGTGTGGAGAGAGAAGACCATTCAGTCATGCAATATTGTGCTAAGGTCACCCTGAATTAATTGACACTCCTAACAAAAGGTTATGTGAACCTTACTGGAAATTGAAGTCATGATCAGGGGGAAACATATGTCTTAGAGAAGGTCATTATACTTTTGCTGGTGGCACACTGGATGGAATATAGGGTATACTTTATGTCTGAACTAAATTTCCTTTTTTTTTTTTTTTTAATATTACAGAAGCCAAGGCTGCCCCAAAAGATTGTTTCATTGATGTGAATTCCAAAGGCGATAGATTTGGCAATTGTGGTTTCTCTGGAAATGAATACAAGAAGTGTGCTATTGGGTAAGTGGAAGAAGTGAGGCTGTGAAGGAGTAGGAATAATGATAGGAAGAGTCATATCCAGAATTTTTTAAAGCTCATTGTAACTGCGTACCTTAAATGTCTCTCTACCTTAAATAACTAACATTTCCAACTTATAAAAGACTTCAAAGATATTCTGATATTCAGAACAGAACTTGTGAAATAATTCTTCCCTTTTTTAAAAGCTAAATTTCGATAATCATGAAAGTCTTACTTTGTTTATATTTACTCTACAATAAGAACTTAACCAAATACCCATTTCCTTTTTTATCTTCACTATTAAAGTTTCCTGAAAATGTAATTTTGGTCTTTTGTTATTTTCTTCTAGCTGTATATGACTTTAAAGTGAAGAATGAAACTTTTTTATTTATATAAGTAACACTTATTGTGACATATTAATAATATTAAAATATTTTAAATTTGACAAAAGTTAACATAAGCTCACTCCTGCTATATTCACTGTTTTGATGTCTTTCCTCTCTTTTTTGTTTCTGTGCAGAACAAGTACACCTGTGACTATTTACATAATTAGGTTTATTCTTCATTACTGTGCATTTCTCCACCTTCTCTACTTCTTATTATACACGTCACCAGTTAGAGTAAGACACCTGTTGTGAACCTGCTGAAAAATAGCGTCAGTGACTTCCTTGTAATTAAATCTAAGAGATTTTTAGATTCTCATCTTCTTGATGTTTTAACAGCATTGAATTCTTTCTTGAAGAAAGTTTTTTCTTGGACTTTTATGCAGTACTTTCTTCTAATTTTTCTTATATTCTTAGGATGCTCTTTTAATTTGTATGTAGCTCACTTTTATATCCAGCCATTAAATATTGGCCTTTTTGAAAACTCAGACCTAGCCTCACACTTACTTTTTATTCCATATTCTTCTATGTATTATTTTACTAACTTCCGTGGTTTCATTTGCTGTTTCTGTGAGATGTTTCACCCATACTAGAGTACCTGTGACCTTCTGTCATGGGGCCTTTGCACATGATTTTCCTTCTGCCAGACGGGCTCCTCTCTCCAGTCTTGTTGGTTTTAAGTGCCTTGAAGCCAGTTCCAACTCAGAAAGACCTTATGACAACCTAATTACACACTGCCCAGCAGCAGTCTCACAATCTGGCGTATGTTTGAACCCATTGTTGCAATCACTGTGTCATTTCATTTCATTTCATTGAGGGTTTTCTTCTCTTTTGATGACCTTGTGTTTCATTAAGCACGATGTTCTTCTCCAGAGACTGGCCCCTCAATGATAACATGTCCAAAGCCTCTAAGACAAACACCATACCACTTATGAGGAGCTTTTTACCTGTACTTCCTTCAAGACAGATTTATTTGTTCTTCTGGCAGTCCTTGGTGTATTCAGTGTTCTTTGTCAACACTATAAATTCACATATAAATTCTTCTCAGTGATCACTTTCACATGTATATGAGGCGATTGAGGATGTCACAATCAGTCAGGTGTACTTTAGTCCTCAAAGTGCAGCATGTTTGCCCAGTACAGTGTGAATTGTGGATCCTAGTAAAATAAAATTCTCAATAACTTTTCTCTGTTTATCATGATTTTCCTCATTGATCCACTTGTGAAGATTTTCTTATCTTTATGTTGAATTGTAATTCCTGCTGTAATTCCTTTGATCTCTGTCATTCAGTGCTTTAAGTCATCTTGTTTTCAGCAAGCAGGTTGTGTCATCTGTATGTGTCAAATCCTGAAGCTCTGTTCTTTTTCTTCTTAATTATTATTATTATTTTCTAATTTAAACCGTTTTATTGGCATTTTATCCACATATCACAATAGTTCAACCATATCAAGAAGAGTTGTACAGCCTTTACCACAGTCAATTTTAGAACACTTTCATTTTCTCCATACTCATTGTTAGTCATGCACTCTGTTCTTTTTCGTATAGCTTACCTTCTTTGTTAGCTAGCATACAGATTGCAGAAGCATGATGAAAAGACACAACCTTGACATGCACCTTGCCAGATTTTAAACCATTAGTATACCCTTGCTATGTTTGGATAACTGCCTCTTGGCTCATGTGCAGGTTTTGCACAAGCAAAATTAAGTGTTCTGGAATTCCAATTCTTTGCAGTCTTTTCTGTAAGTTGTTATCCACACAGTCAAATACTTTGCATAATCCAGAAAGTACAGGTAAATGTCTTTCTTCAGCCAGGGTCCATATGACAATAGCAGTGTTACCCTTTATTTCATGTCTTCTTCTGAATCTAGCCTGAATTTCCTGTAGTTCCCTGTTGATGTTTTTCAGCAACTATTTTTGAATTATTTTTCAGCAAAATTTTACTTACATGTGATATTATGTTTGATAATGTCCACATTCTGTTGAGTTATGTTTTTTTTGGGAGTGGGCAAAAATATGGATCTCTTCTGGTCTCATCATTTTAAGAAATCTTTCCTCTTCTGCCATATTTAAAGAGATCTGTTTTGATTTTTTTCCTCTTTCATAAACAATTTATGTTGAGTCTCTTCAGCTAAGTAATGTAAAATTCTCACAATGTAAGAGAGCACTTTCAAAAGTATTAATCTTTTTTTTAATCATTTTATTGGGGCTCATACAACTCTTATCACAATCCATACATACATCAATTGTGTAAAGCACACATACATTTGTTGCCCTCATCATTTTCAAATCTTTTAATTAAAAAGTCTTTTAATTTTAAAAGAATTAAAAGATAATCATATTTTACCTCAAACGTTTGAAGTCTGGCCTTCAAAGAGTTTGTGAAAAAAATTCTATTATTTTTTTTATTTAAATTTTCTTTGAAATTTTGGAATCAGTCTCATATCTGTAGTGAGAAGTCCAATACTTATCCAACAGATCCAGCAGCACATACGTTCATGCATTAGTGCGCGCGCGTGCACGCACGCGCACGCACACACACACACACACAAACTAGTCATCAAGTTGACTTCTACTCATACTAACCTTGTAGGACAGAATACAATGGTCCCACAGGGTTTCCGAGACTGTCAATCTTTATAGAAGCAGACTTCCACATTACTGCCAAATTTTCAGTGACTGGCCACACTAACTACTGTGTCACTAGAACTTCTTATATACACTCATAGATACACACACACATATATTTCCTTTTGGTTGTTTTTTGTGTGTATACACTCTGCATATATTCTAATTTTGCATTATCTTTCAATCTTACAGGAATGCCTTGTGTGGAAAGCTTCAATGTGAGAATGTACAAGGCATGCCTGTATTTGGAGTTATGCCTGCTATTATTCAAACCCACCACAGAGATACTACATGTTGGGGTGTGGATTTTCAACTAGGATCTGATGTTCCAGATCCTGGGATGGTGAATGAAGGCACAAAATGTGATGCTGGAAAGGTAATCAAAATGTTTTCTTTTTTTTTTTTTTAAATGTCTTCAATTTATAAAGTAAACTTTAAATATTTCAAGAGCCATTATGTAAGTTCAGGGACTAGTAATTTAAAAATTTATTATAAAAGAAATCCATATATGTTGTAGAAAATTTCAAAAATACAAAGCTTTCAAGAAGAAAATTAGGCATGACTGGAATCTTAACCTTTATATTTCTTCATTGAGAAATATATAACCATGTTTTATACTTTATGTAATATATTGTGTATATTTTCCTCCCTGCTGTGTGCATGTGCTATATGCTATCATTTATTTACTACCTGTATGTGTTTGGGACACTTGAGTGATGTACATGTTATGTATATGTGTGTATGTGTGTGACTAGACATGTCACAATGCTTTTCCTGCCCATAACCTTTACCACAGTACATATCTGAGATTAGCGTTAGCTAATCTATGACTTATTTCTAGTGGTTTTATCTAAAAAAGATGAGCTGAGCCAGATTCATCTTCATATACAGTGATACTTTGGTTGTCAAACTCAATTTGTCCCCAATTCGTGTTCAAACACTGAAAAGTTTGAGAACTGAACATATTTTTCTCATTAGAAATAATAGAAAACTAAATAATTGGTTCTGAGTCCCCAAAATTATACCTATAGATTTATTTTTTCAGTACTTTAAATAACTAGAGAGGCAGGTAGACGTCTCAAATATCACTGCTTCAGATGCGCTATCACCACTGAGTTGTTTCTGATTTATTCTGATTAACAGTAACTTTTCAACCTTTTCGAGGATGTGGGTTCTTTGTTTTGTGATTAATGATGTCACACTTTTCACTGCATTTCTCCTTATAAGTACTGTATTTTTGTGCTTGTTCATACAAGCAAATAAACTTGGCTCCTGCTGTAATGCAGGGGAAGACAGCTTTAGACTTCTGGTTTAACATTGCTGCCTAGACCAACACATTACAGAAACCCTCTACAACACGAATGGAGAAAAAAACAAGGAAAAACAGAGGAAAAACATGGAGCCCTGAATCACCCCCCCCCCCAAAAAAAAAGAGAAAACCGCTAAGTGAACTGAACCTAGCAGCTTATGAATTTCCCAGGCCCCTGGGGTTATGTGCATGGACTGAAGAAGGGCTATGAGGACTGTCTGCCACACTGCCCAGGGGGCTGTTTGAGTAAGAATTGAATCATCACCTATGACTGGATACCTACCAAAAAAACCAATTTTTTTTCAGAGCTATGTATTTAGCATATTGTTTTCAAAACAACCTTGTCATCCTCAAAGTACTCTCCATGATACATAACATATTTGTCAAATCTGCAATTCCATTCTTGGAAACAGTTTTCAAACTC